AAAAATAATATTTGATTTGTTCAATAAATGTAAAAAAGGCATTACTTTTATCAAATAAAATATATTAGCTGCTAAACAACCGGACTGGTAAAAGACTTTTACGAGAGCTGGAATTTTTAGGGCCTTATGGTTTGGTGGATGATTTGTGAAGCAAACGGTTTAATCAATGACTGAAACCTCCAACCTTGTCATTGTAAAATACTAAAGACGTAGTTTTGAGCTCAGTGCGACTGTCAGGTTTGGTCTGAAGTTGACACAACACTGTCAGCAACAATGTGTCATGACACATTTGGCTTCATGCACAGACAAGGTGAGAATCAACAGCTCTGCCTGCAAATCGCTGTGCAGTTTGTATTTTTCACAACTTTTCCCTTTTCACAGTGTTGTGGAGGGTGTCGAGAGTGAGCAGATTAGCGTGCGTTAGTGCACGAGGAATAATCTGTGAGCGAGACAGAAGAAGAAACACTATGAAGCCAACAAAAAGAGACAGTTACACTCCTCGTTCTCTTCTGACCATCTCTCTCTGAAAAAGCCTTTCGCTGACATCACTTCCTGTTTGAAAAGTTATTCTAATTAACTTGGGTTTGAGCTGCTGCTGCTGCACTGTGGAGCACAGATTAAAGGAGCGTTGCATCACTTTCACATATAAAGTTGGGTTCAGCATAGTCAGCAGATGCATAGTGTCGCTGAATTAGTCACGTCTAAAACAAAAAATCCAGATGATGTAATCCGGACGTCATCGGGGTTAGCTCAGGTAAACTGACTGTTACGGAGTTGTTGTGCATTGATGTTTATTTTTCCTCTTTTAAAATTGGTCCCATGAGTCATGAAGCTTAATAGACGTGTAGCACATTACCAGGGCACCGCTTTAAAGAGCCACAGYGCTTGTTGCACCACTAACAACTCATATTTTGTGAGTAATGTGAACTAAGAGAGACTGAAACAAGCGGAAGTATTTTTTTCTCCACATCTGTCTAGAATTGTAGCTTAGTTTAGTGTCTGTAGGTGTGTTTTATCAAATGAGCTGCTTCGTATTGTCAAGTCTTGTCAAGAGACAATAAGATGTAGGAATCATTTATCAGAGGTGTCAAACTCAGAGGGGGCCAAAATTCTAAACTTGGCCCAAGCCAAGGGCCAATCTCTGTGTTTACTAGAAMAGTGTTTTATAACAAAAGATTCTTATAAAAATACAAATAACCTTTTCCAAATGATAATTTGTTACATTTAGAACATGCTCTAATGGAAAAAGAAAAAAAAATGTATTTATAAAGAAAAATCTGTAGTATTATTTATTTTGTCTTACTCTCTATCAACAACTTAGCAAATCAGTCAAAAAAAACTTTTCTAAATGTCCAATAATTTGACTTTAAAATAACAATAGACCACAGAAAAAGACAATTAAAGTCAATTCTCTGTTGCTCTTTCCACACTAAAATCAAACATTACTAAAAAAATTCAAGCTTTTTTTTTGCTTTAAAGGAGCAGTATTATGTATTTTTCAGGCTTATATTCTATTACACAATCAAGTAACTTCTGCTGTTGTTGTGAAAATAATTCAGTTTATATAAAAAATAAATTTGAATTTGGGACATTGTGTAAAACAGTGTGTTTAAACCCTGGTCCTCGTGGCACACTGCCCTGCATGTTTTAGATGTTTCCCTGCTTCAACACAGCTGCTTTCAATTGATGACTGATTAACAGGTTTTTGTTCATCTGAATCAGGTGTGTTAAAGCAGGAAAACTTCTAAAACATGCAGGGCAGAGCATTTTGACCTACACTCCATTCTAGTTAGGTGGCGGTAATGCACACCACAAGTTGTTTGCCAACCGCCAATAAAAAATATGAAGAAGAAAAAGAAAAACATGCGGGACAGTGTGCCTTGAGGACCAGGGTTGAAA